AGCAAGAAACCCTAAGCCCTAAAGCATATGGTAGTTATCCTGAAATGGAGAACCCCAATAAAGAAAGTAAGAAATTATATTCCTTTTCATAGGAACCCTCGGTAATTTGGGGAAGACCTCAGATCCCAAGCAGGCACCGCAGGACAGCCGGAGCCTTCGCAGAAGAAGCCCGCGGCCAGGAAGCCGCTGCCCTAGTGGAAGGTTTCGGGGGGTTTAGGGTTTGGGGTGTAGGGCTTAGGGTTTAGGGCTTAGGGTTCTGGGTATAGGGTTTAGGGTTTAGGGGGACCCCGTGTTGGGAGTTCTTAGAATAAGGATTCGAATGGTGCATAGGGACTAACCTTTCCAGGAATTACGGAGCCTTTTCTGGTCATCCCCATACCGTAGTAAGGATTCCAGTGTTTTAGGGTCAGTGATGGTCCTTGCCTATGGAAACCCCTAATTGAGGGTCAGGTTGGGGGTGCTTAGGGCAATGAACCCTGTAAGCGGCAAAGGGGGGCTCATAAAGGAAAGATATGGTAGTTTCCCAAAACAAGGGAACCCCAATAAAGACCCCAAAATACTACAATCCTTATTATAGGGAGCCCCCAAAATGGTGCCCCTCATTTTGGGAAACTACCATATGATAGCATGGCCGTAGCTTTGGCAAGAGTGGTTTGTGTATCTGGTAGTTGCGTAGGATGAGGGTGGAGCCGGGGAGCTATTAAACCCCAAGCCCTGCAGAATATAGTAGATTCAATTTCCTTTTCCACTACCCTCTAATCCCCATACAGCCCCTTCGAACCCTACATAATCCTTTCTACATCTATATACATGTTTTTCAATCCCAGATCACCCTGTCTAACCGAATATAAAGTCCCCCTGAAGTAGATAGAATCTGGCTTTGGGTATATTATAATAAGATCCCCATATACCCCATATTCTATCTACTTAAGGACTAGTAAGGGGAATTTAGGGTTTGGGGTTTAGGGTTCGGCAGTCGCAGACCGACTTTGCTGTGCCTGCTGTGAGCGATGAGCGTGTCTAACTCTAAGACCTAAACCGTGTGGCTCTCAGGGGGAGACCGACTGCAGTCGAGAAGCACTTGCAGGAGCTCAGCAAGCTCAAGAATCCTCAGAAGCTCGGCTAAGTAGGATTTTCGTGGATACAATGGAATCCAAGACGGATAAGGTTATACTCTCCTCTTGAGTATGGCATCAGAAGAATAGAATTTAAGTAGGTTCCACCACCGAGTGTAAGCCAGCCAGCTAAATTTGAAGTGCAAGTGCCCTTCCCCAGATTTACGTGGAACCTCAAATTTGCTCCGTTTTGAAGAACACTAGTCTTTTGAAGGTATGGATCCTTATCGCAGTCCATAAATAGCCCATTATAGTAGTTTCCACTTTCTTTTCCATTCCTTCATCCCCAGCTAACCAAAGGACAGTCTTGAGGTTTTGTGTTACTTTGGGCAAGGGTACTGGGGGGTCTGGCGAACCTAGTAAGTACTTTAATACTTAATACTCTCTATAACCCGTATAGTAACTTGTCCCCATTATTGTTATTTTTACTAAGTCCCCATGACCCCTAAACCCTAAACCCTAGATAACATAGTAACTTCCACTTTCTTTTCCATTAAGCTACTTTCTAAGTCCCTGTGACCCTCCACGTAGTAGCCGGGTAGGCTGGGCTCCATACACATATTGGAAAATCGCATGCAACATAACATGGAAAATGAACTCAAAAAGCCCTGGGCCCCTTTTAACGGGGTGTGTAGGGATCTACAGGGATCATATCCCAACAATGGCGAATCACGTGCAAACGAATATGAAAATCAGATGGAAACTGGACTTATATGGGGATGTAATTAGCACAACTCTCAGGGTAAAGGCGGTTTGTTCAGGGGAGGGGATTAGTTTTGTAGATGTTTGGGTTGCATAACCCTAAACCTGAAACCCTAAACTTTGGAACGAACCGTGCCTGCTTCAGTATGATGCGCGTGCCTACGCCCTAAACTTTGGGTGCAGTGGCTGCACCGCCCAGGAAGAAGGAGACCTACCTGAGCAAGCTTCCTCCTGCTGCCTGGATAAAAGTTTGGGGTTCAAGGTTCATTTTAGCGAATTGTCCGTGGCTATTCTTCCCAAAGACAGGGTTCCACCCAATTTAGCGCGATAGACTGCCATGGGCAATGACGGTATCATCTATTAGATCCTCCCAGGGTTTGGGCAGATTCCACAGGTTTGAAGACGTTCAGATCTCAGCGCTGTCCCTACCCCCTACTTGTACCCCCCCTTGCCCCGACACCCCTTACCCCCCCAAAATAACCCCAACATTACCCTAAACCCTATTTTAGTAGTTTCCATTTTCTTTTCCATTATCCCAATATAACCCCAATATAACCCAAAAAGGAACTACATTGGCCCCTTGTGAACCCCAATATTACCCTAATACAACCCTAATATAACCCCAATATAACCCTAATATAACCCCAGTATAACCCTAATATTACCCCAATATAACCCTAATATAACGCGGGAGGCTATGCAAGTGAAGATGGCCGAGGCCAGTGAGGATGCGGCCGCAGATGTGGGAAAGTCCCTACCAAAATCTTGTTCTTTAAGGGCTCGGGATTTGTAAGAATTAGGGGTTCCTTTCTGGGGTTCCTATGACTCACATGTGGGAAGTTCCTTGAAAGCTTGTTGGGGAGAATTTCTTATATGAGTGCCGAGGAGATCGCGGATCCGTTTTCGTTCTGCCCACTTCGTGAATTACCTCGTGAATTGCGTATACACACAAGAGCCGAGCTTCTATTCCTGCAAGGGTTCGTAGTGTTGCAGTTATTGCAGCGCTTCTTATGTGTAATATGTGTAACATTCTTTTACTCTAGACTCTAGCATAAGTATTTCCTGTCCGCACTGCTGTCCTCAAGTGTCAAGCGGACCTTGCAGGCCATGTCGCTTGCAGAGGGCGGCTGCTGAATCGGCTCAAGCAAGCATCGAGGCGAATTGAGCCCAATTGTTTCTTTAAAGAAGCCATGATTCCAGGTTGGCCTTTGGGATGTTCAACGGTTTACCCTTGGCAGAAGTAGAAGGAGCTGTACGCACGCCTTGTTGTTCCACAGGCCAGCCTATGAGCGTCTGTTACCACAGCACCTGATGCGTGGCTCAAGCTGCGGATTTCAGCTGTGGCTGTGTTATCTGTTCGCATGGGTAAGCCGTGCCTGCACAAGTGTTGCAGAAACTGTACTACATTTGCTTTACAGGTTTGCTTGGACCTTCCTTCCAACCCAGAGATCACAGATTGAAGCATCCAGGCAGACTGTTTCGAGTTTCACATTTCAGATGCCCATCACGTTCCTGTTCCAAGACGCTCCATTCCGCTCTGAAGCATCTTGCTGTGGATGACTAGGGCTAGAATACTAGTAATAATAAGAGTAATGATAATAATAGTAATCATAGTAATAATAGTAGCAGCAGTAAGAAGATAAGATAGTAGTATTACTAGCAGTAATAACAGTAAAAGCAACAATAATAGTAATAATAGCAATAATAGTAATAAAGGTAATAATAGTAATAACAGTAAGCATAGTAATAATGTTGGAAATAGTAAGCATAGTGGGAACAGTAATAATAGTAACAATGCTAGTAGTAGTAAGCATAGCAAAAATAGTAATACGAGTAAGAAAGGTAACAATAGTAGGCCTTCCTCGGACAGTTAATCGCATCGTCGACATGCACAGCAGCCATTACATGCCATCTCTCCACATGCGCTTCCACTGTTCGTTTTTTTATGTACTAGAGCCATGTAGTCCACGATGCACCTTACCTTCTTTGTCCTCCCCGCAAGACGCCCCTTTCCATCCTGGTGGACCCCTAAACCTTAGTCCGTGTGATCAAGCGCCTTGATGTCGAGCCTGGACCTGGGACGTGGCACATGGGAGTTTCCAAAAATGGAGGATTCCCTTCATGGGGGCCCTCATCATAGAATTCAAGTATATTTGAGGGGTTTATGGAATCTAGGGGCCACCAATTTCTGGAAACTCCTACATGTTCAGCATTGGTAGCAATCTTGGGGTTTGATTGTTGTGCCGTGTGACTCGGCACCACTGCAATGTGGAAAGGGAGGCTTCCGAAACCACCCGGTCTGATCCTCGATGTTGAGTCATTGATGGATCTTCAAACTTACCCTAAAACCTAAGCCGTTAGAGTGTTTTTTGAGGGTGAACCAACTTTCGGAAGCTCCAAGAAGTTGGGATGATCACCCCTTTCGCAGTGTTGTTGGCCCACCAGCGGCCAAGTGCTAGATTCTTGTTCGCTTAGATGGATAGGCTTCTCCAACCGCGGATCTTTTGGCGGAATCCAGAGCACGAGGACCAGTGCTGAAGTAGGGAACGCGAAGGAGCACGCGCGCCACAGAGGTTCGACCGATCAAAAGGGTGACCATCCCGATGGACACGTCTGAAAAGTGGGTACGCGTTGACGCTGGCCTGCGCTGCCTGTCGGCTGCTGGACTGTGGTTTTGCAGTGGTGTTGCTTGCAGGAGTATTAAAAGTAGAAGTTAAAGTATCAGCGCAGATGCTATTACAAGTAGTTGTTGATTTCTGAACTGGAGCACCACGGTCTTGTGCAGAAAGCCTCAGACAGCAAAATTCGCAGTGGTGCTGCTTCTTGCAGCAGCTCTGTAATTCGAAGGCTTTGTTGAGATGTGACGCTCAACAGTTAGGCCGATGGTGACAGAAAAGGGAGAGTTTGAACCTGCACGTCCGTCAAGCAACGAAAGGGTTTTCAACTCTTCGACCTTGCTCTCAAACCACATTAAACCGCTAACATTCCAAGTCTGCAGAGAGGCTGCCGTAGTCAGAGTTTCCACAGAGAAGCAGCCTAAGTTGTGCCAATTTATTTACACTTACACATGCATATATATATATACACATGTATAACAGACATATTTTGTCATGCCCGCATACAAAGCGGCAAGAATAAAACAAAGACAGCGCAAGAGCAAGCAGTCGCTGCATCCCCTGCTAGGTGACCTCCAAGCCTCTTGTCTGAAGTTCAAGGGCAGGGTTTAGGATTTGGGGTTTGGGTTTTCATTGGTCAGAATCACTCCAGAACTGACGTTGGGCTTCCTGCAGCCGGGGAATTCAGCATGTTTCGGTTGCTGTTAAGTAACTTCGTTCTAACATATATATATATACACATGGTAAATGGTAGGGCTTCCATATTGTGTGCGATAAATTTATATATTGGTGTCACATAGTCTGGGTTCCATTTGAAGTACGGTAGCTTGTTTTAAGCCAGATGAAAGGATCCTCGGGTCGATGCAGCTCGCACTTGACACTGAGAATGAGAAGGTGGCAGGTGGGGCGCATCAGAAATGGCATGCGCTTGGACCTCGTTTAGGGTTTTTAGGGTTTAGGATTCTCGGGTGCTCTTCATGGCTTGCGAGCTGTGCAGCTTGCCACGAGTGCGAGTTGTGAAGGCTGCGGGCTGGAGGCACGTCAGAGAGTTCTCCTTCAAAAAAAAAGGGTTCCCAAATACCAACCGAAACCCAAAACCCCCCAAACTAAGGCTAGTTAGTACTAGGGGTATTTGGCGGGTCCAGGTAGTGGGAGTTCATTAAAGTATTTCTACGTCCCCCGCAATCTTCTTGGAATCTTTCTGCATTTTGAAGAGTCCCTATGGAGCCTCCCCACGTTGAGAAACCTTTACTGTTGATACCATTTTAATCTCCTGCTTTCTTTTCCATTTTCCGTTATTGTGGTAACATCCCTATTATACCCCCATAGTAGCGCTATGTAACCCGCATATAATCTTTATATAAGCAGTTATTGGGATAACATTCTCCTCCACCCTATTTGAGGCCACTCCTGATGCCTTGCAGGTGCAGAAGCCAAAAAGGCAGAGCTGGACCAGACCGTGAAGGAAAGCCGGACTCTTTTGGTTTAGGGCTGTGAAAATTGTTTAGGGCTTAGGGTTTAGGGTATGCAGGTACATTGCACTAGTAATAGAGAATGAAATGGGAGATGAAATGGAAACGGCTATTTCGGGTTTAGGGGCTCGTTTGCTCGGCTGTATGGACGATTATAAGGATATGCGATCCAGGGCTGCAACCCCTTCCCCTGTTCATGGTATGGGTCAACCCCCATGGAGCTGTGGTGCTGCTGGTTCACCACCTCCACCCCCTCTATGTGGTCCTGTCGTGCTGGTGGTCCCTTGAGGGTCTTTGTGATTCTTGTGGTCCTGTGGTGCTGATGGTTCTCCCCCCGGTCCGCCCCTGCAGTCCCTGTGGGTGGTGGTGGTGGTGGCGGCGGCGGCGGCGGCGGCGGCGGCGGCGGCGGCGGTGGTGGTGGTTGTTCGTAGGCAATCCTGCATCATATCCCATACTTCTTCAAATGCTGTTGCCAAAGGCTTTGCCGTAATCCTTCTAATGCGGTGTTGCTAACCATAGCCCAGCCACCGCCACCCAAACGATTCTTGCTGTTATTCTATTCGAGAACAAACAAAGGAATACTTGTTGCTAGGGAGGCGAGAGCTTGGTATTTGGGAAGGATATTACCGTTCAAGAACACTGCAAACACTGCCCAGGCTTGCATTTCATGGCCTTGTGTGTGCACGTGCCGCAGTGTTAGCAGCATCCACCAGCAGCAGTAGCAGCAGCAGCAGCCGGCTATCCAACCTTTCACTCCAACGCTTGGCTCACAGTTTTTCAGTTCCCAGCACTTAATGGTTACCAAAAAAACAACAAAAGCAGTATGTGTACTATGCAGGAAGCCTTGGCAGACATGTTTTAGTTGCCAGTGAAAATTGCAAGCGAAGCTATGGTGCAGGGTTCCTTGTTCTCTAGTCATAGGATGATACTAACAAAATTCCATGATTTGAGTATACGAAGCACACATAATTACATAATTCACTGTTTTCAGGTACATATTACGTCAAGTAAGGTATTTAATATCAAGAGGATGTCACAAGACGCCGCAGCGCGGCTTACACAGTGAGCGGCGGAAGCTCAGGCTGAAGGAAGGCGCTTCGTAGCAAAAGGCCCCCAAAGAAAGCAGCCAGCGGTACCGTCTAAGGTGCCAGAGGGATCTGCCCGTCTGCTTGCTGCTGCAGCGAACCCTCCTTCCCATTCCCAGTCTTCCCACGCCAGCAACCCGCCACGGCACGTGCCAGCCGTGCCAGCTGACTAGTACTCCCATGCTGTCACAGCTTTGTATTGGAAGCAACAGTTTGAAGAAGTAATTACGCAAAGCTGGGCTGCCACGAGAGGCAGTGCCGCAACCGCATGACGGAGCTCCAGCGGGGGTGCTCCGGCCAAGGAGACTGAAGCTGTTGGAGCTGTTGCGGAGGGGAAGCCGCGGACGGTGCTTCGAGGGCCAAGCGGCAAAAACAGCTGCTTGGAATCGTCCATGAACCTTTTACGCAAGGAGAAATTTTTTCTCTAGAAACAGCTTTGTTGAGTTGATTTCAATATTATTTCCTTTTTGCAGAACGTGCAAGCAAACTGGGACCCTGTCCCATGACATGCTTGTTTCAACGCTAGCAGAGCAGACTGCGTGGTGCAAAAGCTTTGAAGAAGCAAGGGCTTGGTTTGTTTAGTAGCAGTAAACTTTGCTTGCGCTCCAGCCCATTGCCTGATTCTTGCAAGGTTGGCAGAGAAGACCGCAGACTGCAAGATCTTCCACTCCAAGTTCTTCGAAGCCAGGGGCCATTTCAAGGGTCTCCAGGAATGCAGAGACAGCGCAAGAAGGAGTAGCAAGCCGCAGCGCTGGTGGAAGAAGTGGTAAGCAGCAAGCGGGCAGTTTCACTAGTCGCTTCATCAAAGATGGCCTTTCACCTGAGCAAAGTCTTACAACGACCACCAGGTCTCCTGAGAAAGCGAGGATGTAGAGTTGCAGGACTAGAGATACGGGATCTCGGAGTTGGGGTTTGGGGATGTCAGGGGTGCAGTTTACCTATAAATGCTATCGCGCGCCCGCCTTGGCTGGCGGGGTGCGGAGCACGCGAATAGGTCATGGCATGTAGTTGACGCATGGGGCTTAGGGTTGAGGGCGGAACGGAGGCTTTGTTGCCTGCCTGTTGCAGCATTCATAGAGGGGTTGGTTGTGCCTCGTCCATCAGCCTTAAGTAAAGGAGTTCGCAAGCTTCGAGCTGCAGCCGTACCCTGGAGGGGGGAGCGGGGGGGAGCGGGGGACGGGGGGGAGTGGGGCAAAGGGAGGGGGACTGATTTTGCACTAAAAATGCTTGCCACTACTGCGACAGCTTCAAACCTGGCACGAAGCTAGAATTTCACGCGGGATGGTCAGGCTGGATTAGGCCACCCACCATGTGCCACGGTAACAGGGGTTTTTAGAGGGCTCTGAATGCCCTGAGGTTGGATAGCCTCGGCGAATTAGGATTCAGAATGTTTAGGGTCAGAGTTTGAGAGTAGCGCTTGCAGGTGAATGTTTTTTTGCAGATTCCCGAATGAGCAGGTATGGAAGGCCTGCGCGAACCACCGTCCAATGAGGTTCAGCCAAAAAAGGTGTTTGGAGACAAGCCTAAGATATTTGACGTACGAACGTAGATTTTGGATCCAGGACCTTAATTTTCGAGACCGCGCAAACCTTAACGCAAATGAAGCTGACAAACTTGGGCTTGGGGCACTGAAATGACATTAACCTATTCCAACTTCCGTCGAGGCAGTGCGCAATTTCTACTTTTCATTGTTCCTGGGGTTCAGGGTTCAGTGCTTAGTATATTTTTTCAGCTAGTTTTTTTTAGATGGCATTTCAGCACCCTAAATCCCGAACTTGGAAACCTTACTTACATGACGTTTTTGTAATCGTTTAAACACCTTTTGTTTAAAGACTTGCTGTGGCTCAGAACCTTGAATTTTCAACCGCTGACGAGTTTCAGATCATCTTGTTCTAGTTTCACTTAGATTTGCAACGTCCAACGCCGGAATGGCAGTCAAGGGATGCAGCGCAAGCCGTGCCACTTGTCACTTATGATAAGGTGGAAGGTTTCGGTTTTAGTCCAATGTTCTGAGTTTCAGGCCCAGGTGTGTATTCCTAATGTTTTTGCCGGAGGAATGCTCATCACCGTTAAATCCCGCACCTTTCCGTATATCTGCCATACCGTACGTCTCTGAACAACAAGCTTCGTTTCTTAGAAGAAAGCTCCAAAAACTATGTCCTGGTTTTGCCCAGATTTGCAGCATCCAGCTTTTCGGAGTGGCAGTCTAGCGATGAAGCGCAATTGCGCAGCCGCGCTATTTACCACCTACGCTTGGGTTGGGGTTTTAGGGATTGTAATTTATCGTGGTCTCGCGCAGATTTGAAACATCCAACTCCCCAGAATGACAGTCCAACAATGCAATGCAAGCTCTGGTATTTTGACTAATGTTTGCGTTGAAGGCTTAGGATCTGGGGTTCAGGGCTTCGGTGTTTAGAGTGTAGTCCCAGTTCGTTCTTTTTGTGAAGACCCTTAGAACACCCCCAAACTCCGAAAACGATCTTCTCAATGTAACTCTTTCTGAAAAACTGTCAGTATTTTCTGTCCGCTAAGTATATGGCTAAAACAGGGGCCTTTCCTCGTGGGGTTTTATGTTCCTGGTATATGCCCTATAAATTATCCATGAGCCCTTGTAGTCCCCAACGACAAGCTAAGTGTCCATATGGAGGGCTCACGGCTAAAACCAGAGTCTAAACCGTCTAAACCTTAGATCGCTTGTTTAGGACAAGTCTCACATGAGCATTTTCCAGCGTTGCGCTAATTTGCAACATCCAACTCTCGGAAGTGAAAGTCCAGCAATGCAATGCAAGCCGTGCTACTTCAAGCTTATGCTTGGGTAAAGGGTTTAGGTTGTGAGGTTCAGGGTTTCGTGTGTACCAATAGGCTCTTCGTTAAGCTGATTCTCAACAACCCTGTATATCTCGAAGCTGTAAAGCCACATACATTTGTACACGTTTGTTTTGAAAAAAGTACCTCTATGTTGTCAAAAGCTTTCAGCAATCTAGACCCTGACTTTTCGACTTTAATTACAAGGCTCTCAATTGAGCATTTCCCCTGCCGCCGGGATTTGTAACATCCAGTGGCAGTCCAACGATGCAACCAAGCCGTGTAACTCCTCACCTATGATGGGTTGGAAGGTTTTTCAAGCTTAGGGTTAAGTTAAGAGTTTCGTTTTGGCGCTGTTTTACCGGTGGATTCCGCCTCGAAACGACGCACAAAGACCCCTGAATCCCGAAATTGCAAACACTACCTACTTTTATATACCTGATTTAACATTCTTTCTGATTCAAAAACCTTCAGCATTTTGAGCCCTAAACTGTGGACCGTGTATTTAGGACAGGTCTCAAATCAGCATGTCCAAGTGTTGCCTAGATTTGCAGAAGCACCTTTCGTTTTTGAGCTTGAGAATGCGTCAGGGCTGATTAAACGAAACGTCGATTTTTGAGGATGCCTTTACCACAGGTTGTCGATGCCTGAGGCACCCCTGGGTTTTCAAAACGCCTTTTGTGTTTGAGGTTGAGGGCGCCCAAGGGTTTACAAAAAACCTTTTGTTTTGAGGTTGTGGGCACACCGGGATTTACAAATAACCTTCCGTTTTTAATGTTACCCCAAGCATTTCGGGGTTAGCAAAAAGCTTTGCGTTCTTGAGGTCGAGGACGCCTTAGGTTTTACAAAAACTTTTCGTCCCTGGGGTGCCTTCGGTCTCAAAAACGAAAGGTGTTTTGTAAACTTTCTGGCGCCTCAAACATCAAACGCTGGGGTGTCTTCAACTTACACGGACAAAGGGTGTTGTACGAACAGCAGAGGCTTTAATGACCACGCATCAGAAAACACAGGGAAGCGTGTTCTGCAACACAAACTTGAAGTCTCAGCCGTGAGCAGATAGAAATTCAATCTTCAAGGACGGTTGATCTATAAACCGCATGAAACGCCAACCCTTGAGCGCGGTCAATCTCAAAAGGGGAAGGGTTTTTTGCAAACCCCGGGGTGCCAGCAACTGCGGCAAAAAAAAGTTTTTGTGGCTAAGCCTTGGAGCACCTTCAACCTCAAAAATGAAGGGTTTTTTGTAAACCTTGGGGTGCTCTCAGCTTCTTCGGCTTTTTGTTTCCCCTGGTGGGGTTCCTTGTCCACCGAACCATACACCCCGCAGACCAATCATGCAGGGGCTTAGGCTAATGTGTTTGAGGGGCCACAACGCCACGCGCACATCAGAATAACCATGCAGGGGTTTAGCATCTAGGGCTTGTAGGGTTTTAGGTTCCGCACAACCATGCGCACGGCAGAATAGCCGTGCAAACAACACAGCCATGCGCGCATCAGAACAACGTGCAAGCAATGCTCTAGCTTCAAGGTTTTTGCTTGCACATCAGAATAACCATGGAGAGAGCATGGGAAGGTATCATAATTTCATACTATAACCATGGTAACCATGCAATATGCAATGAATGGCATTCTTATCAACATAGCCATGGATACAGCATGGGAAGGCATCAATAAGCCATGTTCAACAAGCTGAGCCCAAGCGGTGAATGCGTGCTTTCATGATTTAAAACTTTGGAAAACAAAGGAATGCCATAGCTCGTTATCATAGATTCTCATGAGCTGACTATAGAAATTGGTTACTTCAGTAGATTATTGCCCCATCTAGTTTGGACAGAATAAAGGACCAACAGTCAGGAAAGTGTATATTAGATCATAGTCGGGAGATGGACACAGCAGATCTATTGGGTGTGTCCAAGTACGAGGATAACAAGTCTGCCATCAGGATATGGGGACCTGAAACCGATGTTTGCAAAGGGAAGCATCGCTTCAGTGACGTGCATGTTAATTGCTCGTCGAGAGCGTGCTTAGGAGGTCTGCTCGTATGCGCAGAGACCCTCTGGCCAGGCATCGCTGCAACATAGCAAAGAATGACTCCAATAATCTAACCCTTACCGTCACTTCATAACCTGGCGCCCAGAAACCTTGAAACCTGAGTGGGACTCTAGCATACCCTTGCTGTGCAGCGGCTTGAAGCAGCTTCGCAGTGAAGACGAACCATGCATGCAAAACTTTACATCGATGGTTTTGGGTCTCGCCCTGACTACATTCTGGAGATGTGCTGCCCAGGAGGTCAAAGGTTTGTGTTTGTTGGCATCCGTGGAAAACGGGATATTCCGTTGAAAATTTGGTAAGGAATCTCATTTCCCACCATAGTATTGCAAATGGACGTGAGAAGATGAGATGCACTGGATCTTCCTGGTGCTTTGGCTCTTGTTGCAGGGGACGGGATCCGCGGGGCCCGGTGCGTGGAAAATTCAATTTAGTGTGCATTGTACTTGATGTGATATGTTTGACCTCTGGCTCCCTGGTCGGAAAAAATACATTTAGGGGGCCGGGATCCAAGCGGCCCGGGGGCCGATTGCGGGGAATCTTTCAGGAAAGAAATCAAAACACATTAAAAGGATTGAATATAATATTCCCTGGGGCCGGGATCCAGCCGGGATTCCGGCGGTGCCGGGGACGGCCCCAGGCAATATCTAACTTACTTAATTTGTTTGATCTCCGCCCCTTTGGCCACGAAGTAAATCCCATAAGTTTAATGAACTAAATGTTGCCCGGGCGGCGCTTACTTGGCCGTCTCCAGCCTCGTGAAAACTAAAAATGGGTTTATTTGGAAGCCCCGTACTACGTCCTTTTGAAGGAAACTAATACCACAACCTTATTAAAACTCAGTGTAAGCAGCTTCCAAATAAACGCATGGGGGGGGGCAGGAACCCCAAGAGTGGAAACATATACAATGGTTTAGGTCTAGGATCTGGGGAGAGTCTGAGGGATGCTATAGGCACACTATAAATCATACAGGGATATTATAAGGGAATTCCCAGAGTCTACCGCAAGAATGGAGAATCAAATTGGAACATTTGGAAAATGCAATGGACAGTATGTAGGGATCTATAGGGGTTTCAAGAAGGGGTCCCCTTTGGGGTTGTGCAATATGAGGACTCAGTATATTGGAGTCTACATTGGGGCCCGCTTATTTGTGGAGATTACGGTGTTATGTCGGCATGTAATTTTGTTGTATGTTGATGGTGAATGACAGCCTCAGCTTCTTGTGCTAGATACGATGGATGGAGGAAATCCTGCACCCCTGTATCCAGTGATTCCTAGACCGTAGACTCCCCAAACCCAAAGCCCTTGAGATTTCCAAAGGCCGAGATCCTTTTTTGATCCTTTTTGAAAGGACGCAGAAGCGGCACTTCAAGCTGCCAAGGCTCGACGGGCATAATGCCATCAGGTCGCTGACTTGAGATGGGGGTTCCAATAAACTACGCGGCCCCTTTTTGAGGGTACGCATAGCAATAGTAGTTGGTTGTCTATTTAGGGTTTCCCTGGCTTTTGGAAACGACCATGCGAGATATGCCTTTGTTATCAGTTTTGGCGAGTGTGTATATAGGGTTCCGGAGGGATATAGATGGGTGTGTATATACATATAGTTATACACATGCCTTTACACAAAATGTATATATCGGGTGCCCACTTTGAGAGACCATGCATTGAGATCCTTCCAGCAAGCAGGCTGGGGCCGCAGGAGAGTTCTGGAATTCTCTTGTATACCAACCCCAAATATTAAAACCCTCCACCACCGCCCTAGCGTCAGATATTCCTATTCCATGTTACTGAATATGGGTAGTATTTGATTTTAGGGGGGTAGCGGTTTCAGGATTTGGGAGGGGATTAACATTGGACAGCCCCATCATCTTTCGTAGTATTGAACGTGTAGAAGGTTGAACCCTGATGTAGACGAATGCAGCATCCGGGCAGTCGATCATAGCAAACCATCAACAAGGAGAGGTGGGTACATCTGTTGACACGCAAGTCCTGCATGATCCCGGTGCTTTTCGATGCTTTAGGGCCATGCAGTTTTTTTTGTATCCGCCGCATTGCAATTGTAACAAAGAGCATGGCAAGAAGTGGCCACAGAGGCCCAACAAAGTACTATTTTGTTACAACATGTGACAAATTCACCCGTTTCTTCCATTTCTTTCAGAAGGAGCTCTATGCCGCGCATCTCCCACACAAGTCCCGTAGAGCGATGCGCATGTTAAGGAGGCGAAGCCAGGCGAAGCATGTATGTGAATGTCGGAGCCAAAGAACCGCTCCCCAAAAACCACTTAGGCGGAGATGCTGCTTTTTGGATTATTGTTGCTTGTAGGGTCAGGTAGACCTAAGAAGCAGGTTGATAAGGGAGCTAGCAGCGGCTATTCTATTGGTGTTTTGAAATGTTTACTCGGCGCCCTCACTTTTGCCTGTGCCTGCAGCGTGCGATGCGCATTTGTAACAAAAACACCAAGAACTACAACAACTACAGTCAGTAATATCCATGAGAGCAATATTCTTCATTACTTTTCATAATATTCCTCATACTGAATAACCCTGTCAGGATATTCTTCATAATCTTCATAATGAAAATTGACATAAAAACCCTAAACCCTAACCCTGTCAGGCCACAACCTCGGAGCGTGAGGCGAGCCTGAAGGCATCTTCGGAGGCACGCTGCGCAGCGGAGCCGGAAGCAATGTGAGGGCGTTGGGGTTCAAGGGTTTAGAGTTTTAGGGGTTCCTAGGGGTTCAGGGTTTAGGGGTTGAGGGGGGTTTAGGGCTTTAGGGGTTCTGTTATGGGTTTAGGGGCTTAGGGGTATTCCTTCAGGAGTCCAGGATCCAAAAACGGGGTTCAGAGTTTAGGGTTTAAGGAACTTTCATAGGGTTATCAAGTGGGCCTAAACCCAAAACATCCCAAAACCATAAACCCTAAACCCAAGCCCCCAGACAGAGCATATGGTTGGATAACGCTGGTGCAGTGATGCTGGGCTTTGCTGGAAGGCTGTGCGTGCGACCAAAGCTGCCCTGGACCAGAAGCTCAAGGATCAGAAGTCTGGCATCAGGGCAGAAATAGTAATCATTGTAATACTACTGACCGTAAGTTTAATGACAATATTAAAGAGTAATAGCTATAGTAATACTAACACCAAAGAGTATTAATAGTAACAACAGTGATAACAGCGATAGTAGAAATAATAGCAACTATTGAAGTCTTGTGTGTGCAGCAGGAGTAGGCCTGTTGACAAAAGGATAGCTGTCTGGAGCCCTGCCGACCCAGCTCAGGTGATGAAGGCATCCTGAAAGTGCGTGCAGACAAGGCCAGCCCGGCATCTGACTTACCAATAGTGACAATAGTAATAATAGTAACAATAGTAAAACGGTAACACTAGTAACAATAGTAACAATAGTAATAATAGTAACATTAGTAAAAAATAGTAACAACAGGAATAGTAGTAACAATAGTAGTAATAGCAACAATAGTAATAATGGTACTAATAGTAGTAACAACAGTAACGAGAGTAATCACAGGGTTTGGGCCAAAAGGGATATGTTCTCCCAATGAAGGAAAAATGAAATGCAAAGCCTCAGCATGCGGACGACAGACTGGCTCTAAACCCTAAAGCCCTAAAACCCTAAACCCCAAGTCCTAAACCCTAAGCCCTAAGCCCTAGGAGCACCTTGAGAGCGCCAAGTCTGAGTGCTACGAGAAGCTGAAGTCTGGCGCTGCGGAGGGCAAGGTGCTGCAGCTGTCTAATGTAGATTAATCGGGGTTATATTAGGGCTATATAGGGATAATGGAAAAGAAAATGGGAAACTACTGTTAAGGGTTTGGGGTTTAGGGACCCTATTAGTTATATGCAGGTTGATATAGGGTTTGGGGTATAGGGGGAATATAGGGATTATATGGAAAAGAAAGTGGAAACTACTATTTAGGGTTTAGGTTCATGTAGACCCATGATGAATAAACCCTCTCCTTGCAAGAGTCTGAATAGAAGGATCCGTATTCTAATCCCTATTGAGGGGAGGGGGTTCATTAATCAGGGGTCTGGGTTATTCTTGTTGATTCTAGGCCGTTGCCTTATGTCTTCCACGCAAACATTGCTGCTCAAGATAGCCACTTGTCAGTCAATTGTGGTGGACAGGAAGCAAAGCAGCTGCTGAAGAAGTTAGAGCGCAGCCCTGAGCCAAAGTGTTTGTCTTCCTGCCCATGTCCTGACCATGTCCACCTCACATTAAAGCTTTTCTTCTTGTGGGCCTCAACTGATAGTTGTTCAGGCAGGCTTTGAGGGGTCAAAGGCTCCTCCCGATGAACAGTCAATCCGCACCCAAGACCGCTCATCAAGCAGACCTCTGTTGACTCTTCGCTCATCACTGCGGCACCTGGAACGCTTCTCTCGAAGCCTCAGGACGATGACCAGGGCACTCATGGCATTAGGGCCTCAGGGCTGCGACAACAATTGCGTCGCAAACGGGGTTGAACCATGCACAGGTTTAGCCCAGCATTAGACTTGCCTGACTGGTGCGGGACTAGATATTAGCCTATACAGACGCAAGAGGTAAACAGCTCATGTTAGCTTGCGTGGCTGCTGTCGTCGTTGTTAGAGTAGCAGCATGTAGCAGCAGCTCTCCAACATTCTTCCAAGTTCCTGCAGGTTGAACGCAGGCAGTCGGGAAGTGTTGACAGTGTGAGGTCATCGCATAAACTGTAACCCATACTATCAACCATCAAGCCTGTAGCAAATGCATGTGTAGCAGTCTTTCTGTGAAAGAGGATATCGCTTAGTCCTGCCAATGACCGCAGCTGTGACTTCCAGGAGCGTGGGAACTTCGATCAGATTGCACCTGGTTGGCATGAAAAGCAAGCCTTGGGAGTTGTCCAATGTGTGCATGTTCATTCTTACCAAGAGGCCTCCCCACAGAGACAGGACTTCGCACCGAACTTTGCACGCGCCGTGTGCTGAAAGGTTCTGGACCAGTTGGAGACCAACTTTGCGTCCAAGCTTGCTGAGCTTCTTGGAAATCTATGGCTTCAGGAACCTTCATGTTTTGGGCTGTGCACATGGTTCCGTTGCAGCCAATTATGCGACTGAATGAGGAGCCTGTAAGGCCCACGCTTAGCTAGGCAACTATTGTAGAAGTGTAGGACTTTTTGAGGACCAGGCCCTGACGACAGGAAAGACACCATTGTTGTGAGCTTGCTTGATGACATTCAGCTTGCGACGTACCTATCTACAAACCATGGATCCTTCTGCACGACTCTCTTTTAGGATTCTAGGGATCCACATAACGTTTGGAACGCAATGTCCTTTTTGTTAGAGATACTATTAAGCAAGTACAAGGCTAGCAAATATTGGGAAGATTAAGAGTGCCTATTTCTTCCCCGAACCCCACCGTCGCCCCCTGATGATGAACAGTCTCCAATATGCAAGTAGGAACAGGGGTGGGCAAGGAGTGGGTTGGGGTGGTGGGGGGGTTGTTTTTAGGGAGTTGGTTGCTTGTTGAGATGTTTTCTGCTTGTCCATTCCAACTGTAGCTTGTTTTCCAAAAGCATGCCAAGAAGGACATTTTCTTATTGCGAGCCTTGACGGCCCATAGAGCCTCATAAATGCATGCACGGCTGTCTAAGAGCAGATCAAAAAATACAACTCCCACGCAAGCCCTAGACAACCTTGCGGAGTCTTTTAAGACCTAAACGATAACTTAATACTTGGAGGGTCAATAGCAAGTAGGTTAATAACCCCATATCCCATATAGTAACCCTCGTTATCCCCATAATTAACCCACTTACAGAGCCCCCCTGGGCCCCCAAGTAGCGGATGAACAAAGGCTTGAGGCGCAGCTCGCGGACGCGGCGCCTGCCACTGCGATGCGGGCCGAGGAGGCGAGGGTGCGCATAAAACTTCAGTGGGATGGTGTTGTGACTGAGGGTCAACAAGAGACTTGGGAGAGTGATGCAGGATTTTCGATTCCGATAGCTTTCGCGCAGTTGCAATTACAGGTTTGCAGAAGCACTTGTTTGCATAAGCACTTGCGATAGTGGCTTGTATTCGGGGCTCGCTGGGGTGGTGAAAGAGAATCCGGCTGAAAGCTGAGGATCATGGCGCGGAGGTTTTAAGCATATCTCGGGTTGCTGCTAAGGAGTGTACATTGATGTAAGTTTCCGAACTTTTAACATAGTCAATAGTGTGATTCCCAAAAGTGTGCGGTACCTTAGTTTGAGTCCTTTAACAACACTCCAGCAACTCAAAAGGGTGGCGGCTGTGGAAAGTTGAGCTTGCTGGGACGAAGGCTAGTACAGTGCAGCCGCGAAGTAACAACAGTGATTTGACAATTTTCAGTCGCCAGCCAAGTAGATGTGGACGATTCCTGATAGCAAACGGCTAATGCTACCTGCCCCTCCCAACATATAATGGCATTATATATATATATACAGTTAAAGTGTATTATACTATGTTCTATTATCATATATATATATTTACATATACTATATTATATTATAATATGTATACACACATATATATAGGCCATACATTATCATGGTGAGAGATCGCAGGTGCAGAAGGCCAAAGATGCCCATGCTGATGCCGAGTCGAAGCAGAAGGAGGCCAGTGCTATGGGAATGGATGATTAGACTAGGGTTTAGGATTTAGGGTTTAGGGTTTGGGGTTCAGGTGTTAGGGTTTAGGGTTTAGGGGTTGGGGTTTAGGGTTCAGGGTTTAGGGTTTAGGGAATAACTTACTGGGGGTGAGTAGGGAATACATCTGTTATATAGGGATTATATTCCGGTATTCCCTACGAAGCCCCAGGAAGATGGCGGTGTGAGTAGGGAATATGTTATTTAGGGATTATATTCCCTTCTTTCCCTACTAAACCTCAGTAACATCATGGAAAATCAGATGAGCTATTCCTAGTATCCCCCTATAGTAGTCCCCTATATAATCCCCTATATAACCACCCTTTAAGGAGTTCAGACTACAGCTCAGATGAAGAAAGCCAGTTTGCAGGCCGACCTACGCACTGAAACCAGCAAATGTTGGCTGGCTCTGAGCTGGCTGTTGCTTCAAACCCTAAATAGTATGGGAGTATAGGAAGATATGAAGATAGGGGTATAATATAGGGGTTATATAGGGATAATGGAAAAGAAAATGGAAGCTACTGGGTTTAGGATTTTGGGTTTGTATTGGGGTTATAGTCCCCCTGAAGTAGATAGAATATGGGGTATATGGGGATCGTATTCTAATATACCCAAAGCCATACTCTATCTACTTAAGGGGGACTATAAACCCAAAAGCCTAGAACCTGTAAAAAATAGAACCCTAAACCCAGGTCCCGGGAACCTGACCGTAGCCAGTGCTGATCCAGCATCATGTTGACTGTTCAAATGGGGATTTCCCCAAAATTGGGGGGGGGACTTTTAAAGGGGGAATATAGGGTTATGTCGGGATTATATGGGCTTACGTCGGGTTTAGGCTCTAGGGGATTTCCCAAATTTGAGGTACCCTTTTAGGGCCCCCCATAATAAGGATTATAGTGTATTGAGGTCCCCCTATGTTGGGAAAGTGCCGAATGCGCGCAAAGTTTACCTCACCTGGTCCATGTGAGGCGTCTGTGGACCTGTGTGCCGCCAAGGAGGCCAGCAGAAACAATGCAACAGCCTTTGCAGCATGTAGGGGTATAACATAGGGGTCATATAGGGATAATGGAAAAGAAAATGGAAGCTGCTATAGGGTTTCCTCCTCAAGCAAAACCCGCGGCCTTTTGTGTGGATAGGCCCAGAAGGAGGCAGCAGCTGCTGTGGCAGCTGCCAACAAAGCCGTGGCAGTGCCTTGTCAGCTGAAGCGTCTGCATCTTGTGAGCCGCGCTGGGTGGAGCTGTCTGCTCGGCCTGCTTCAAAGGACTACCAGACTGAGTACAAAGCAGCCACGGAGACCAGAGATGCTAAGAAGGCTGGACTGGCAGGTACTGCCATTGCTGTCATAGCATGATAACCGGAAGTTCCCTGGACATAATTCTTGAGGTTCTATTATCTTTGATCCTAGGAACCATCTGAATTTTAATTCGAAAAAAGCCGGGGCTGTGGGATGAGAGGCGGAGCTTGATGAGTATGTGGATGGAGGCATGGCCACCTTCCAGGACATACCAATAGGGTTGCATGTATAGGGCTATGTAGGGATGGTATAGCGGCATATAGCGTTACACACAGGTCTATATACGGTTATATCTTGAATGGAATCTTGATTCTGGGACTTGCGTGCTGCAAGGAGTCATGGGCCGTGTGGGTTGGATCTGTAGGGTTTGTGATGGGCAAGGACCCTATTCACCGTAGGGGATCCAATGTTCGGAAGACATGACGGGGAGCGGATGGCCGTATATAACCCTATATGACCCCATGTAACCCGATGTAACGCGATGCAACCTCTTTAGAACCCGCTCTGACCCCATGTAGCCCTACATGATTCCTATACAACCCCATTCCAAACCTATGTAACCGATACAACCCCTGACAGTTGCATGTATTGGTGCGTCCGCAATAGAGATGTGATCATGAGGAGCCTAAACCCTAAACTTTAAACCCTGAGACCTCAACCCTAAACCCTAAATCCATGCCTCGGAGGAGCTGAAGGAGCGAGTCTCTGCGAAGAAGCGCCGGGAGCTTGCTGCTAAGGCGCCATGTGGGGCTTTCTTGATAAAGGGATAGGGTTTTGGGTTTAGGGGGATACATTTAAAGGGGGATATAGGGGTCATATGGGGGTTATGTAGAGTCTAGGGGTTTCCCAGAATTGAGGGTGCCATTTGAAAATACGAATTCGAATACTTTGGGGTCTATCGGGGCCCCTGTCTTTTGGGAAACTACCGTGTGAGAGTGATACAGACTTTCGGCTCACTTCTTCAGGGATCTAGCAATTGATGGGGTTAATCGGGGTTATGCGCGTAGTGATTGTGGGGGTAGCAGAGGGTTCAGCATGTTGCCGTATCCAGTGGTGTGCGCTAAAACAGTGATGGTGTGCTCAGGGCGGTGAAGCACAGCAGAAGTTCAGGGTGGTGTAGGGTGCTGGTAAGAAGAAGGAGGGCCACCCCAGTCAAAGCTATGGGGGGTTTGAGTCTTTTGGGTAAGGGGCTCTGGGGCATGGGGTGAAGGCCCACCTTCTAAGAACTACATAAACAGGCTCACGGCTCGTTTGTTATTCGTGCCGTCCTCTTTCAGGTAGACCTACAAACCGCGGATTTTCTGTTGCGCGCTGCAATCAGACTTGATCAGGAAATGAATGAACAGGGCCGCATATGCCCTCAAGTGCTAAATGTTTTTTTCGTAATGATGGCCGCCACTGCCATTCCGCTTCGGTCGCTTAGCGGTCAATACCTTCCAGAGCTGGTACATTGCCAGGAATGAGCCCTTAACATAATGCCAAACTGCTAGGCAGGAGGAAAAAGGGTGCGGTGAGCAATCTTAAGGACACAGACCTTATCCCAAAGCCCTGAACCTCCTTAACCTTAAGATTCAAGATCCTTGAAAGGAATGGTCTGGAAACCCTAGACCCCTAACCCCCAAAACTCCAAGCCCTAAGAGACAGAAGAGCTAACCCCTAAGCCCCTAAACCTAGAACGCCTAAACCCCCAACCCCTAAACCCCCAAATCCTAACCCCTAAACCCCCTAACCCCTAACCCCTAACCCCTAAACCCCCTAACCCCTAAACCCCCTAACCCCTAAACCCCCAAACCCCTCTACCCCAAGCCCTCTGCAGGCCGCCGAGGATGCTGCGGCCAAGGCTGTGGAAGCCGAAGCGGAAGCTCCCGCAGAGCAGGCCGCAGGGGTTAGGGTTTAGGGTTTAGAGATCAGGGTTTAGGGATTAGAGTTTAGGGATTGGGGTTTAGGGATTTGAGTCTAGGGTTTATGGATTCTGCTTTAGGGTTGAGGGATTCGGTTTGAGGGTTTAGGGAATTAAGTTTAGGGATCAGGCTTCGGATTTGTATTGCGATGGAAAATGACGTGGAAGCTGTGCTTGCATGCAGTTTATATGGGGGCTGGAGCCCCTCTTTCTGGAAATGACCAGAAAGGGATTCCTTTTGGGCTTCTACCCTAAATCTTAAAACCTACAAAAAACACAAAACCTTGACTAGGGAATGCCCCAGTAAGTTTCCTGCTACTCGAGATTTGGGATACAGGGAAGAGGGGACGAGTCTAGGTTTCGTGATTAACTTTCAGGATTTAGCGGCCAACGGGGTTGTACAGAATGCGTAGGGATTGGAAGTATGCACCCCTGTCATCCCCGTGCAGGGTTTACGTGTTTAGCAGTTGCAGAGTTGCCAAAGGGATCCATTGACAGTTGCTCAGGATTCGAGGCTTTGGCACCCCTTTATTCCTTGTTCTCATGGAGCCTCGGGTAGAGCGCGGCGGAGGGCCCCAACAACCGGCTGCAGGCGGACCTGATAGATTTCAGCCAGACGGACATCTTCACCAAGGAGGCGGTGACCAGGGCGCTGCCCGACAAGAATGGGGCCACCGTGGCCTGCGCGGCCGCGGTGGCCATCCCGGAGCTGGTCCAGACGAGGGCAACTACGTGGTCACCACGGGAACAGGCAGAGGAGACAGGTAGCTCTGTGTTCCAGTCCTGGAACGGAGCAGGCCCTGTCGAGTCAAAATGCTGGGTTGCTGTAAAGGAACTTAGTTTAAGGTACTATACTGGGGAAGCCATTTTAACGATTGTATATACCCAGTATGGTGAATTAGATTAAGTTCCTTAACAGCCGCCCAGAATAGTGGCAGCCGCAATACCTTTTTCATCATGGGCCATGTTTGCAATCTCACTTGTCGGCTAGGTGGCTTAAGCCGGGGAAGCTGAGATGATCGCAGTGAGCTCAGGGATACTGCCATATATATATATATAGATATACTTTCCATGTCATTTTCCATTTTCCTTTCCATTTGATTGTCCATTTTTGGGGTAATATCCCATATAATTCCCTATATTTGTTCACTCTTGTGTTGCTCTCCTGCAGTTTTGTGTCGGGCCGCCAGGTGTGAGAACTTCCGAGCAATTTGCCCTTGACGTTTTCATTTTCAACCTCATGAATAATCAAGGACTGGTGTCTGGAAGCTGGGTTGGAGCACTGCTTGAACCCGAGGTCATTGCAACTGGACAGTGATGGTGGGGTTTGCATCAGCTAAGGACCCCAGGCCCACGAAACGCAACATTAGCCAGTTGGAAACTGCAAAGTCTCCATTTTCTTTTCCATGATCCCAATTTCACCTCAATATACTCTTGTAGTTTCCATTTTGTTTTCCATTATCCCTATATAACCCCAATATACTACAGTGGTTTCTATTTTCTTTTCCATTATCCCTACCGCGGGCCTTGGTCAAAGTGTAATGCACGTGGCCAGTTTCACACAGCACTGGCCTGCACAAAGAGTCCCCCTTCGTGGTCGTTCATGGGGGGGACCAATTTGCTGGCAGCCAGCCACAGCCGTTTAAGAGCAACAAAATATTGCCCTGAAGGCAGAAGGTTTGCAGCGGCCAGGTCAGGATAGGAGGCACATTGCATGGAACGACGTGATTTGGAAGCCACATCCTGTCCCGGACCAATGCAAACTTTCATCCACCTTTAACTGTTGCTTGGAGCTGCTAGCAGTTGCCGCGCAAAAGAGACGGATGAGCAAGCCAGTACTTCTCAGCAAGCAGCTGTCTCTTAGCACATGCAGACTTATTTGACTGCACCCCTGTGGCTCAAGCTTCAAGAGAGGAAGCCATCGCGGGAAGCAGTCTGCACGCTACTCGATCCTCTAAAGTTGGATTAAGGCTTGCAGTTCCATTTCAATTGTGGTGCCTTGCCCGTTTCGCCAGATTCAGGCAAGAACAAGGCAAAAGAGGGCTTGAAGGCATGTTGAGGTACAGACACCTTCTATTGTTTCAAAACTGAGTACTGGAAGAATTTGCATTTTGCGTGTACGCTGGGGTTGCGCGGCATGGGCGGCAAGGCCGTTTTTCCGATTTCGAAGCTGGATGTAGCCACCGCAGTCACTCTAAGCTTTTTGCTTGGGTCTCATTACGAGTATGAGGTTTTTGTCGGTATGGAATGCTCCTGGTGCTGGTGGCGCTGAAGCTGCCGGCCTTTGTGATATGGAATCATAGGCTCCCGGTGGCCAACGTCAAGCCTTGAAGCTTGATTGCCCCCATGCCCATGCGGAACCCAATCAGGAAGTTTAGGCCCAGAAATCGGTAGGGTGTTGTCAGGATCATATATATATTTTTCTGGCGAGATTCTATGCATGTCATAGGATGACGCGCAGTGTTTTCTTGGACCTGCATTCAATGTTGTCTTTGGATTAATTTATGTTACAGGGTTATGTAGGGATAAGATGGATGGCCCACCTCACTTGCCGAGAAGTCCGGCCGGCATGCCAGAAACAGCTCGCAGAATGCTGGGAGAGAAGGTTTTGAAGTTGGGTACCGCCTCCACTCTGTAACAGTAGGAGAACATTTAAAATAATGCTATATGACCCTTAATAGGGCCCCTAATATAGACGGTTACAGGAGGGTCAAGACTTCCAGCCCCAGAGATGGGACACCGACAGAGTTCAGAAGGAAACGTTGCATGTGACTCATATGATGTGTGGCACCATGTCTGACTCATTCTAGCATTTTCTTTTGGTTATATTGACATAGATGCCATTGAGCCCCCTTAGTCTGCGACTCTGCAAACTTTAGTTCAGGCTGACCAGCGTAGGACGCCGAGAAATCCTTTTCATGAACGCTTTTCGCGACCAGTTAGCTACATCTGGATGGAGAGTGCTTGAGACCATGCACGAAGAGTGCGGCGCCTGGAAAGGCTTGCCCACATGCATAACTTTCTTTCCCAAGTCGTCAAGACGAACGCAGCATTAAAGCTCAGGGGCTTAGAGGTTCAGAGTTATAAAAGTAGAAAGAATCACCAAATGTTCAAAACCCAGCATGTGCTCCATGACCTCTATAACCTATCTACTTATGGATGATTGCACGGAGGTCATACAGGTAGAACTTCTTGAAGGCTCGGGGCACTTCGTACGTAGGTTTTAAATTGTGTTTGTCGTCCTCCTCTTGGGACTGGCACGCTGAGAACCCCTTTCTGACCTACATACTAAGTTCCCCGTGCTTAAAGGTCCTTAAAGTCTACTTACTAACCCTAAACCCTAGAACCCTAAACCCTAAACCCCACGTTGACATACAGAAGGACTAAAGGCATCGTCGCAGGGCTGGGCTACGGGTTGGCTGCCATGGCAGAGGAGGAGAGGCCTTCTGTTGGGCCACTGGAGTGCCTTTGATCTCAATTGTACTATAGTCTAAACTCCTTAAAGGGGGATTATATAGGGGATTATATAGGGGACTACCATAGGGGTGATTCAGGGTGCCTTTGATCTCAATTGGGTTTAGGGTTTAGGTTGAAGGAGGGTTGAAACCAGGGGTTTTTTGCTGTTTTAGAGGTTCCCTAAACCCTAAACCCCTTAGGTTAACCTACCTAAGCTAACCACGTGGTTTGGCGTCGAGCGGGTTACCCCAGAAAACCCTCCTCCTTTGTCCACAACGCCCAAGCCAAGCTTCTGCGACAGGTTTTCCTAAATCCCCCAACGGACCCTTTCCATCACGTAGTTTTCAGCCCGGGCTACACAGATAGGATTCAGTCGATGGGAAGGCGTCGAGGTGGCAAAATCCCATATTGGATAGAAGTTACAACGCAAAGACACTTCAAAAGCCATTGGGACCACAACCCTGGTAGAGGAATTTTAGGACCTAATCAAGTATATACTTCCATCTTAAGAGCTCTGAGAATTCCTTTTGGAGCTGCGCCAATGCGCGCACGCATTCAGCGCGCACGGCTGCAGCAAAAAGAAAACCTACCTAAGCAGACAACACAAACTGTGAGGGTTCTTTTTCGAAAGTTGTCCAGTCAACCTGCACCACCCGCAAGTCAAACCAGCGGTTCAGGGTTTAGGATTTAGGGTTTAGGGTTCAGGCCTAGGCCCCCCGGTTGTTGGGTCCCTACCCCAACAAGCGTTTTTCAACCAGCATTGTCCCTGCGCCAGAATAATGATGCCTATACTATCTCCAAATGAGCTATAGTCTAAACTCCCTAAAGGGAAAGGGAGTTATATAGGGGATTATATAGGGGACTACTATAGGGGTTATTTAGGGGGATACTAGGAGTTTAGATAATGGTACAAATAGCCCCCATGTAGCCACGACACTCTGGTACTCAGGAGCTTCGTCTTGCGATTGCCGCGTCCGCTTCACGTGCGGAGGGCGGCGTTGGCATATGCTTGTACGCAGGCTCTCTCATCTGGTGTGCTGCAAGGGCTGGATAATAATAATAAGATCAACAAGAACAGGGGTAATTGTATAACAATAGTCGAAGTAGCAATTATGATCATCAACCCCCAGCATCAAGTACAGACGTGGCTGCGGGGTCAGGCAGGTAGACATGGCTTGGTTAATCACGCCGATGTTGTTATCGTTCAAAATACTCAAATGGCTTATGCTGAGTGCACCACTGGTATCTTGGGAAGATTCCGAAGCAGAGATTGGGGGCAAGGGTTCTGGTTCCTGTCTTCTGGATATGAGATTTCGCGCTTCTTTTTGGGTCCATTGTTTTTGGTACCGCTTGTGTTGTGGTCCGCTGCTGCCACTATTAGGGGAGTAGCTGGGGCACGTTCTGAAGATGCACAGTTTACTGCAAGCCAGGTACTTGGTAACATTCTACGTAAAGTCCGTGCCCATCACCCGAAAGATACGTGATCTGACCGCCACGATATGCGTGCGTTCAATGTACATAAACTAGTGGACCACGTGATGCTCGACAAGTACCAGCTTGGTGTGTGCGAGCCGGGAACATCAAATGCAGACTTAGATGGCAGTATATGGCAGTATCTTGGTTCGTCTGCTCGTGTAGATACCGGGTAGCCGGAGTAGAGGATTGCGGTTCTTTTCCCGTTGCAAATTGCCGCGCACCGCTGCATTCACAAGCATGCCCTCCCCTGGAAGTTCCGGGAACACATTTTTCAAACAGGTGGTATTTATAATCCTGAGAACCAGCTGAAATTGTTGCCAGGGTTCCGGGAAACTTGGAAAACCTTTAACCCTAAACCCTAAAACCAGTATTTGGAGGTTGGTGCCGGGCTGTTGGCCCTGGGGCCAGCCGTGGCGCACGCGGGTTGGGTAGGCATTTAGGCTGAAATCCGTGTTCGCTTGTTTGGATGATATGAACTATGGTCTAAATCCCTTGAATGGGGGTTATATGGGGGATTACATAGAGAGTAGAATAGAGGTTATTGGGGGGGATACGAGGAGTTTAGATATGACTCATATGGCTGTTGCAAGTTTCCGGGTTTTCGGTTATCAGATTCCGTCAGATTCTGGCCATGTGTGCTTGTGTCTCCTTGTCCCGCTCAGTTTGAACATGCCCTAACATGTGCCCGCAGGCATTCCGATCATCGTACTTTGCGCATGCTGCGCAGCGCACACGACCTACCTCTTTGGCTGGATCATGCTTCAAACGCAGGCCTGACTGTATCGGACGCTCGGAGCATAGGACGTTGGAGTGGAGAAATGTAGAGTGCTGAAGCTTCAGCAAGGTACTTGCCATATCCTTGGTGTAGGTACCCAACAAGCTATTACTGTTAATGTCACTGCTACTGCTACTGCCACTACTACTACTACTACTGCTGCTGCTGCTGCTGCTGCTGCTACTGCTACTGGTACTTTTACTGGTACTGCTACTGCTACTGTTCCTACTGCTACCATTCTCATTCTTCTGCCCTTTAGTAGGGCAGCCTGCTTCGTCAGGCGGCTTTGGCGGAGGGTGGCCAAGGCAAAGCCACCATGACCGCAGTCTCTTGCCAGCTTTTGAAGCCTCTTCCCGGCTGGCTTCGGCCTGGCTTTTCGGACTTGAGTTTTTTAGGTTTCCTATTATTCATGTTAGGGAGGATGACAGTTTAACTTTCAGGGCGGTCCTACAGTCAGCTAAGTTTTGCTATAGTTGAAGCCTTGAACTGAGGAATCTGCACTTTGACCCTGTGTGTTTCAAAATAGCACAACCTGAATTTAAGCAAATCTCCGAACGCATATTGAAGTTTCCGAACATTCGGGTTTCCCCTTGGTATGCCGGCAGTATGCTACAGCAGTAGGGTTACTATCCTTCTTATTCTGAACCCTAAAAAGCCTCCACCTAACCCCTAAAGAAGTCCTAAATAGCCCCTTATAGCTTTATATCCCCTAACCCCTACATAACCCACCCCAAACCCTAAACCCTATGTAGCCGCTTTAAAGGGACAGGCTGGAGGAGTCCTCTAAGGTGCTCACAGGATCCCACCAGGGCTATCAGCAGGAGTCTGACAGCAGCGATGGCCTGAGCAGCGACAGCGAAGGCAGCTCCGATGTGCTTGGGCTTTGGTTCTTTGGGGGCTTTTTTAGGGGTTCTTTGAAGGGTTTCTTAACGGGTTATTTTGGGGGTTATTTAGAGATTGTACAGGGGTTACTTACGTGGGGGTTATTCAAGGGTTATTTCGGGCTTTTTTAGAGGTTATCTAGGGGTTAAAGGGGGTGATTCTGTTGACGGAAAGGAGAGAATGGAAAGCATCTGGTCATATGGTAGTTCCCGGTGTGCCATCGAGCATGAAGCTCATGCGACAGTGGCTTGAAGAACAAGATTATCACGCCTGTCGTTTCATCCGCCATCGCAACATGTCCTACTACATTAGTGTTGCTGCGGCTCTACTGCTTCTACTATGCCTACGAAAAAGTTTCATAATTGCTTGGTCTAATAATCTTGGTGCTGCTGCTTCTTCAAGGAGGACGGCTCCCTACACCTACCACCACCTCCACCCTACCACTATCCCCGCCCATTGCCGCCTCCCGCTACCACCACTACTTCTAGTACCCACTACTATTATCATTACTCTTGTTAGTACTACATAATTGCCACTAGTACTTGAGCGTACGAGTACTAGTACCAGGGTTTCTTCTTTTAATCTTTACCATATTTATGATTTATATAGCTTTCTTTGACATGGGATCGTTGCTGCTATTACCTGCTTACCCAGCATAGGATTCTTGGGCCCTGCCCACTAAAACCTACATCCTAAAACCTGAACCCTAACACCCTAAAACCCTAAAACCCTAAAGCCGACCTGAACATTCTTAGCCATGCCTGCTGAGTGCAATGCGGGTGTCTAAAACCCTAAACCCCTAAAACCGTAGCCTAAAGTTTGCCTAACTAAGGCTTGGCACCTGGGTGCTTGAACAACTGCCCAAATGAGCTATAGTCTAGACTCCTTAGGGTTTCGCGTTTAGGGTTCAGGGGTTTAGGGGTTTAGGGCTGAGGGTTTAGGCCTATAATGTAAGCTCCTGAAAGAGGGGTTATATAGGATTATATAGGGTTTAGAGTTCAGGGTCTAAACTCCTTCAAGTAGGTTTACAAAGAATATTATATAAGGGAATATTATAGGGGTTATTAACGGGTGTCGCTAGGAGTTCAGACTATAGCTCATGTCATTCCTTCATGTCCCTTGCTTAACACCTGATTTGAAAGCAGTTTGCCTGAACCCTAAATAAGCTTCCTCCATGAACAGACGTGGCGGTTTTGGGGATCGTTAGAAAAAGGACTATAGCATATTTGGACCTACATTGGGGTCCACCCTAAACCCTAAACCCTAAATGTTTTGGGAAACTGCCATGTAAGGCCAGCAGCAGCAGTGGCGAAAAGGAGAAGCCGCAGGATGGACTTGCTTCTCCGAACGGGTGGGCTGCATTCTGTAGGGGTACTATATTATAGGGATTTTATGGGAATTATATAGGGGGTTATATAGGGGTTATACAGGGATCATATATGGACTCTATAGTCCCAAAATTGGATTGCAATGATTTCCATTGGTTGTCGTATGTTGTCAAAAGACAGGGCGCTTCTGCTAGGTTTAAGAACAAAAATTACGGGGGTAATTGGGTTCATCTGAGCGTGTTAGCCTGAGCAGTTAGCGCTTACAAGCCTGAAGCTGAAAGTACTACTACGCTCGGTGCCTCCGTGATGAGTAGTACCTTTGCTATTAGGATTGTTCCCCGAACTCTTGTTGTTCTTCAGTACTTTAAAGCCCTTAACCCTAAACCTCTAAGCCCTTAACCCCAAAGTATAGGAGAAGGGAAGCAGGCCCAGGAACTGTTTCGTGCAGGAGCTGCCGCCAAGCTATGAGAGCATTGGGTACCAGGACGCTGGGCGGATCTTTAGTCTTACCTTTGGTTTTGCTGGGACTGAAGGAGTGGCAAATGGTTTAGGGTTTAGGGTTTAGGGGTTTAGGGTTTAGGGGTTTAGGGTTTAGGGTTTAGGGGTTTAGGGTTTAGGGTTTAGGGTTTAGGGCTTAGCTGGGACTGAAGGAATGGAAAAGCACTGCTATTGTAAGTAATGTAGGGACTGCTATAAGGATATATTCCTTCATTGATCTTGAGCCCAGAGCCTGTGTGAGCCATAGTCTAAACTCCTTAAAGGGGGTTATATAGGATTTACAAGGTCTAAACTCCTTAAAGGGGGTTATATGGGGTTAAGGTCTAAAGTCCTTAAAGGGGGTTATATAGGGGATAATATGGGGGACTAGGGCTTATTAAGGGGGATGGTAGGAGTTTCGACTATAGCCGCAGTAGACGTAAATAGGACTAGAGCTGCTTCAAGTGCATTAGATCTTGAGAATTGCAGTACTTCCGTGAAGCCCAAGCATGCAAGCCTTTCTCCATCAAGTGCATCTCCACCTTAATCAATTCCAGCTGATGCGCATGCAATCATAGAGACTGCCCGTACTTGCCGCCGAAGGGCTAAAAGTATTCTACTTGTTGTAGACATGCTGGAGGTGATCTGTATGAGGTCAATGTCTCCACATTCTCCGAAGACCCCTAAACCCTGAATCGTAGTTTCCATCTTATTTTTCATTGTCCCAATATAACCCCAAACAGAACCCTAATATTACCCCAATGGGTACCCCTATAAGGCCTTAGCCCCTTGTCCCTCAACCATGGAGTGGCCCAAGGCTATGGGCTTGCTTGGATACGTGCTGTCCAAGGTACTTCAGCTACTTGGTCTTCCAAAGGTTTCTTACCAGAAAGCAGGTGTTGCGGTTGTCTGAGCTATAGTCAAAACTCCTTAAACGGGGTCTTTTAGGGGATTATATTGAAGCGTATTGTAGGGGTTATGAAGGGGATGCTACGAGTTTAGACTATAGCTCATATGATAACATCACGTAGCTCTGCTCCGCATTCCTAAGCATCACGATGTTCTACTTGCTTGTATCAAGGACCCTAATTCCTGGGTAGAAAGGGCCGGTTGCTGCTGCCGGGATCTTCACATGGCTTTGCAGGGTTTCATTTGGGGTTGTGTTTCCTCATAGGCCCAGCCCAATCTTCCCCAATTAGGGTTATTTTCTAGCTTAGCCGTAAATCGGTGCTTTGCTCAGTTTAAGTTGTGCTTTTGCTTGGGCAAGGCGCCGTCCATTGTTCAGTGCAGGGGTGGATGAATGGAACATCACCGCAAAGCCCTTTTAAACTCTAAGACCTTTGACGTGCGGTCAAAAAAATGAGTTCCTTTTGGGGGGCGCAGGGCTGCAAGAAGGATCCAATTTCATAAATTGTATTATGTAGGCCTAGCCAAAGGTACCATGATTGCCAAAATAGCCAAAATAGCATCTCTGAGGCTCCTGTACGGGCTAGGATAAGTGCTATAGGGGATAATGGAAAAGGACATGGGAACTTCTGTAAAATAGGGGTTAAATAGGGATCATTTGGGGTTCTATAGGTGTGGAATATAGGAGGCTACATCTGGGAGAACTGGTTTTAGACAGTGTTGTCAAACAATGCCACCTAGGCTGCAAGCCAGAAGGGCTGTAACACGCAGTCAAATGCAAAAGACTCATTTTCAAGGTTGCCCAATAGCCTCAAACCTTACATACCCAGAGATGCGCGCATAATTTTTTCTACACCTCACAAATCATCATACGCCCTAATATTTATTTACCTTACGTAATCACGGCAAAATCTATTGCTGACAAGGTGCCTGATGCTAGTTGGTGTTTGCACAATCTTCCTCGTGCTTGTCGGGATCAACGCCTGGCAAGTGGAACGGTGCCTTGGTGAGAAGCAAGAGGAGACAGACATGTCTTCTGTGTAGCCTCGAGCTCAATGTCAAGGAGCAAGCTCTTTGACCCGCTATATGGGGGCTGCTTATGATTATTACTATTATTGTTATTGTTATTATGGGGGTGGGTGGATTATTAGTAACGGCAATCGCTCTGAGGATCTTGGGCATCGCCTGGATTTCGAAACGGAATGTGATCCTGGCTGCGGCGGCCTTTGAGCTTATCCCTTGCAGCTTGGAGCCTAAGGAGTTGTAGGGGGAAACCAAGCACATGCCTTTGAGGCTGAGGGGACTTGCAGCGCATGCGAAGAATTGCCGGTAGAGTCTCGAGCTTCAGGACTCGCGCTATTGCTGCTTTTCGGAGTGCACGTTTGTCTGCAGGTTTCATACCCTGTCAACATTGCTAGCCTGTATCTGCGCCCAACAAGGCATAGGGACAGCACGTTTTGTTTTGAGCATTTGTAATCACCTCACCTAATATCAAACCCCTCCACCCCCCTGATGTTAGGGGGAGGGGGTTAGATGTCTTTCTGCGGAACACACTTTTGCAGCGGTTGTTCCAGGAAGACTACCTGAAACCAATCATTACCATCCCTGCGAGCTAGGAAGGCCTAAGGGATGGGGTAAAGTGTCATGGCAGCTTAGGAAAGTTTAGGGTTTAGGGTTTAGGGTGTAGGGTTTAGGGCATAGGTTTGGCCCTTTCCGTCATAAAGCCTAACGTGTTGCAACTGCAAAGTTCTCCGGGCTACCAGGTCAGCTGCTGGTCTCTATAGCTAGAATAGGTAATGATTTTCCGGCATTCTTGCGGGGACTCCACAACTATATGATGAAGATGCATATGTGCTACTTACATGACCTACTGGACCTTCCAAGCAAGGGTTTGTGATAGGGACGTTCTCCCCTCCGAGGCTATTTTATGGCAACGGTAAAGGAGACTTTCCTGCTGACAGCGCTTGGAGCCCTTTGCTCGGCGATTTGCGCGGTGGCTCTGGACTCTAGCTGGGGCTAGGGGATTTTTTTGTTCTGTGGCCGTTGAGGTTTGGGTATGTGCCGAGATTATGGTTCGTTTTGAGGGTTCGTTGTGTTGAGGAGTCTATGTCTTTGCGGATGTATAGGGGCTGCAGTGCAGGTAGATACCCAATTCGGCATTTCTGAGCGCTCTGGAGAACCAAAGGGTTTGGCCAGGCTTCATGAAGCCTTTCTCCTGCGGTACTTAAACATATTGCTGCAGGTGCTGTAGTACATCATATAGCACGTGGGATTGTCTGAGTTAAGCGTTTCTGCTCTAATGCGACAGCTTTTTGCGGCCATGCCCCACTAGTGCCCCCAAAGGCGTCCATAGAGCTTAACAGAACCAAATGTTCGTAAGGGTGCTTCTCAAAGCGTCCCCGGGAGAGTCGGATAATGCACATGTAGCTGAGGGACTCCTGCATCAATCATTACTTATTTCTGGTTGGCAAGGAATGAACTAATCGCAGTCCCTATATAATCCCCGATGCTGGAGTAGTTTCCATTTCTTTTCCATTCCCCAATATATCCCTATGTAACTCTGGTTTCCGCATTTTCAGTTGTCTTTTCCGTTTGACTCTCCATCATAGCATTATAGTTGCTTCCAATTTTCCATTCCTCCATTCCCTCCCTAAGAAAGCCCATGTATTCTTGTAAGCCCCCCAGTCTTTATTTCACGTTTCAGGTGCTTTGCCATTTGATTTTCCATTCCCTGCACGCCAGAGGTAAGATAATGAGCCACTGCCAGGTGGTAGTTGTAGCTGCTGCCTTTACCACACACCCCGGCAAGCTCGATGGGCAACTTGGAAGAGTTCCACGGGTACTTGGAGGGATAGTGCAGGAATCATCTGGAGATATTACAGGGATATATGGGGATGTTGCCTCCCAAATGGAGAAACACATGGAAAATAGATTTTAAAACAATATGGACAAGGAAATGGGAACTAGGATTATTTAGGGCTTAGAGGGGTGCAATATTACTTGGTGGGTGTCAAGGGGACTTAGTACCCATAACCCTCCAAGTAGGAGAATCTCTAAAGTCCATACCGTACATCCTAAACCTTGAACCCTAAACCCTAAACCCTAAAACCCTAAACCCTAAATCCCTAAACCCTAAAACCCTAAACCCCTAAACCCTAAACCCTGAACCCTAAAAACCTCGAACCCTACCCTCAGGCAAGAATTTGGGCTTCCAAGCCCAGGAGTTCCCCCAAAACTCTGAAGGGTTTAGGGTTGATCCTCCAGATTGGGACCCCCAACAGAGGGACCCCTGACTTTTGCAAGCTCTCATGTGAGCTATAGTCTTAACTGAATAAAGGAGGTTATACAGGGGATTATATAGGGGACTACTACAGGGCTTATTAAGGGGGATACTAGGAGTTTAGACAATAGCTCATGTGTGTGTGCCCTTGAGAATCTCCGAGGTGTTTGGATGGCCAGGCCAACAGTTGGCCCATGTTTCCTGGCTGCCTGTGAGCTTGAGGGTCCAGGGTTACTAGGTGGCAGATACTTTACCCTAATGCGGCATAAGGGAGCCTATTCATAAACGGTAGTGTCCCAAAATAAGGGGACCCGAGTATAGACCCCAAAATGTCACAATCCTTATTATGGGGAACCCCAAAAAGCACCCCCAACTTCGGGAAACCTCCAAATAGCTTTGGGGGGCAGGTTAGGGTTGACGGTTGTGGGCTTGGACTTTTCGTTGTTGAGCTTCCATTTACTTATGCCAGTGAGGCTTCTTGCAGGGTGGGGAAGTTAGCTGAGGTTCACGGATTTGCAGGGCCTTTGCCTTTGCTGGAACTCGGTCGTGTTTGCGTTTGGAGGCCGGATACGTCTGACCTGACGATCGAGGCGTCCTTTAATCAGGGGCGGACGGCAAACCAATCACTTTTTCTTCAAAACTTATCCCGAGATAGATGACAACAGAGAAGCAAGCAGAGGGCAATTGTGGGGATCAGCACGAAGCAGAACAAGGAGGTGGATCGATCCTGGCAAGGTTTCCAGCACTTTGATAGCAACTTGAGGCTCCGAGCTACTTTGTGTCACCACAAACGCATGCAAGAGCAGGCGCTGTAAGCTGTATAGTCGGGGGCTATGGAGCAGGAAGTAGATCTATTCACATGCAGTTGTTAGATTTCCTTGATCCACCTCTCTACCCCAATACTGTACCTTGTGTAGCAAGCTTAAGGCCCTGCCAGCTTGTGACTTTTAACGCCCCCCTCTTCTTCCCACAGTGGTGATGTAAGCACTTCCGCTGTCACACATGCTGCGCTCTCATGATGCTTTGTGCTGTGCGACTAATTCTGCAGCCGTTGGGAGGCATCAACGTTCTGCCAAGCCTTCTCGCAGACTTCCATGTTCGTGGCGTTCTGGCAAGGGTGCCGCTTTCAATTTGGTGTGGGTCATTTCTACTGTCATGCTGTGCCATGTTCCTCAAACAGTTCCTATCTGCCCAGCCCATTTTACTTGACCTGCCGAGCAAATTTGTTGTATTCATAATGGCAGGCAGGTTGATGGAATTTTGCATGCAAGAGTCTTGCAGATCCAAGCTGTATTTTGGATTACAGTGTTTGCAGACCTTTGACCTTTTACAGGATGGGCTGCGTGTTCGCTAGTTGTTTAGATAAGGTTAAGCGGAGATGAATCTTGAAAAAAAGCCTGAACCCTTGTCCGCCTTCTTTCAAACCTTCAGAGAGCTGTGCGGCGTTGCGTTGGGATCACTGGCTGGATTCCATGGCTTCAGCCCAGGTTCACGCGTTGTTGGGGGTTTAGGATTTAGGGATTAGTGTTTCGGGCTAAGTCCAAGAGCCCGGGCTCTGAAGGGAAGTCAAGAGAACTCCTAGGTCCGGGTGTTGTCGAATTGCGTGTATTGGCTTGCACAAGTGCTTTTTTGAGTGGGTTCCATTAGAATATGATCACCACACCCTACCCATGGTCATTTGTGGGGTTCCCAGTATCTGTGGCGACTAGACCTATTTTGGAAACTTCCATCTGTTGCTGAGGCGCTGGTGAGCTTCACATGGCGCTCCTACCTGTCCCTAACATGCAGGTATTCCAGGAGTAATAATACTAATGGTAGTACAAATAGTGATACTTGCAAGAAGGAATGGTAGCGTAATACGAGTCGCAATCATAGTCATCATAGTACGTCTTGCAGAACGCGGCATGATTTGTAAGTGCTTGCGGAGCACGTTACACAGACTCTACTAGTTTGCGTGGGAAAGGTGGGGGGGCATTTGAAAGATTTTGCTTTGGGGTTTTCTGCGCCGGGATAGCAACATCCCAGTGAGCTGATAGGGGGGATTGTCATTTTTGGGGTCGGGGTCCAAAAAGGCCCTTATGGTTTCTTCTTGGTTTTCATGGGATTGGAGGTCCCCAAAAAGGCCCGTAATTTTGACAAGCCATCACACCCATGTGTACCCTAAACCCTAACCTAAACGCTAATTCGCTTCATCCTGTTGTTGGGCTTTGCTGAAGAAGAACATGATGGAAGCCCCAGGAGAGGTTACCATTAGGGTCTAGGGTTTGAGGGTTTTGGGGTTGTGGTGTTTTAGAGTTTAGGATTTTTTTAAGGGTTTTTACAGGGTTCAGATGTTGGGTTGGGATCTTGTCGTCGAGAGGTTGCAAGTCAACTCAGTCATGCGAAGGATCAGAGATCGAAGAGGCGCGCCCGACAATCAGAACTCCCTGTGCGAGGAGCCCCAGTTCAAGGAACCCCGCACATGAAATCTTGAAGCGCTAACCCTGAGCGCTCGTACACAAGGTTTGTGCAAAATTTCCACCGTCCGCCATGAATTTCAGTTCCCCACAGTGCTACTTGGACCCGCATCAAAGGTTCATCATCCAAACCCCAAACCCTGAAACCCCTAAACCCTAAATCCTAAACCGTTCTTGGAACCTTGCGCTGCTGTATTGTCCATGCAAGTGGCAAAAATCCTAAACATGAAAGGTTCATCATCCTGATCTACGTGGCCGTGGCAGCTGCAGGTTTTTCGGTGGGCGGCGTGGCAATGGCTAGCCGGAAGGCTACGACTGACTAGAATTTCAGGGGTCCCTTGAAAAGGAGGTAGGGGTTTTGTTAAAAGAAAGAAGTAAGATGGGGATAGGGATTATTTATAGGGGAATATGTAGGGTTTGGAGTTTAGGGGCGTCAGTAGATAGCAAACATAACAGAGTAATAGAGAGTGAAATAGGATTGCATTCCACTGTACGGGGCATATATAGAGATCATGTAAGTGTGTATACATATATGTACATATTTATGTATGGGGGGAATTATGCAGGCATGATGTAAAGTTATATGGGCGAAATGTAGGGTTTAGGGCTTGGGGGTCAAACTTGATAGCTACAGTGGAGAATCACATGGAAAAGAAACGTCAAAGTGCCATGGAAGCTATTATATTCTAGACGAGTTATGTACAGGTTATGTGGTGTTTCATCACTGTACCTCAGAAATGGAAAGTCATGTTGAAAAGAAAATGGAAGATGGAATGGAAACTGGGAGCTATTTAGGGGTTTCATAGGGATAATGCAATGCAATCGGGGGCCGCAGAATTCCATCCATGGAGAATTACATGGGAAAGAAGATGGAACATTTAATGGGGACTACCATTTAGGGTGTATGGTCTCGTCCATAAAGGCGTACCAGCCCAATAATGGACAACCAAATGGAGGACAATGGAGAACTACATGGGAATTGGGTTTATACAGGCTTGATTTAATGGGCTCATGTAGGAGCCTGAATAATTACCAGCATCATGTCGAGGTCTATTTGAGGCACTCTATGCCATTGCTCATGTTTTGTGGCCAGTGGGAGTTGCTTGAGGTCTGGATTTTCGGCGCAAAGGCTCAGAAGTGTCTCTTCTTCGGATCCTTCGAAAAAATTGGAAACATCTGACCTCTTGCTTTTCCAAGATCAGCAGCCTTTGTGAGAAACGCCCGCGTGAAGTAGTTTCCATAAAGCCAGATTTCATGTTATTATCCATTTCCTTGACAATTTGGCTTTCCACCACTGGGATAATGTCCCCAAAGCCCTAAACCCTGAAGAACCTCATGCAACCACGTGAGCCATTGTCTAAACTCCTAGTATCCCTCTCCATAAGCCTTATACTACTATCTTATATAATCCCCTATAAACTCCTCCTTTAGGGGTTTTGATCCCCATACATCCGCATACAACCATGTGGAGGTGGACTCGAACGTGCTCCTTGGGTTGTCAGGCTGCCCGACAGACAAGGCCAGCCATGCAGGGACGCAGCAACGCTAAAATCCTCAAATCCCAAATTATTACTATTATTACTATTATTATTGATTACTATTGATATTATTATTACAACTACCAGTACTATTATTATTTTTATTACAATTATTATTACTACTGTTACTACCATTATTACTTCTAGTATTATGAGTATAACTATTATTACTAGTACTAGTATTGTTATTATTATTATTATTACTAGACCCTGAAACAAACAAAAGGCCCAAGCCAGGACCCTAAGCCTTGCAGTTTGCGAAGTACAGGTAGTGATAAGAAGGGAGAAGGGTGTGATGGATCTGCAGGTCACCGGTTTATTTTGTTCGAGGGGAAGCCAAGGGACCCTCTGATCGGGACACAGCTTTGTGAGAACCAAAGCCAGACTCTATCTACTTAAGGGGGACTAATCCTAGCAGCCGAGCTAGACTCCTGTTCATGAATGTTCGTTGCCATGCTTTGGCATGCCAGGGTGAGGAAACAAGCCAGCACAAGCCTGTTCTCATCAAGTACGCCTATAGTTGGTTGCTGCTAAGGAACTCAGATCAAACTAACATGTTATGGATATGTGGTAGAAATGTGGTTTCCTGCACACAATGGTATGTATTTTAAAGTTCCTTGACAGCAACCCAGTTATGGCACTTGTGCCTTCAAGTTGAGGCGACCTCCTCGGACTGGAGCCTGCTGGTGGCTTACAGTGTCATCACTCTGCATGTGCCTTGGCAACCCGCAGCATACACATCTGCGGGCACATGTTTTTGCGGAGACATGTATCCATTGATTTGAGAACATACCGTGTATTGCACACGCACGCACGCATGCGTATGTATAACCCCCTTTACGGAGTTTAGACTATAGTGGTTCTGAGAGGGATGCTGTGCCCTTCTTGTCCGGCGTAAAGCTGCCTTCAGGCGGTGCTGTTTTCATCGGGTTGACTGAAACATCCTGAGCATGTCTGAGGTGTTGCTGGCATTTCCGGTGCCTTTCCACTCGGGGGCAGAGACCCTCGAGGCCTCCTGCCGTTGGCACATTTGTATGGATATGGTCCAGTGGCTCCTGCATGCTCACTGGGGAGATCTGAAACAAATATATGAGCTGTACTCTAAACTCCTGGTATATTCCTTTATAACCCCTATAATACTCCCCTACATGACCCCCCTGTAAGGAGTTTAGACTGTAGCTCATATGGTAGGCCACACATGTGAATCGCAGCAGGCATCTAGAAATCGGGAGTCGGAGCCAGCTCCGCACCTCCACCGGACAATGTCAGGCAACGCTGGGCACCCGAGAAGGCGCCTTACAACCCGGAATGCGCGGCCTTGTGATGCGAACTCCTCGCCTGCTGTTCCGTGGCAGGTGATTTATGACTTGAGCTTTTGAATCAGGGCTCTTGGGGCCTCTACTGTAGACTTGAGGTTCTTGGGGCTATGCACCACGCTGGCCTACACCCTTCCTTTCTTTGGTGCGCTGCTGGACGTCGTTGCTGCCGTGGCCGGCCAGGCCTGCCACAAGCCACAGGCTTGAAACTCGAAGCTCTGGCCTTGTACTTGGAGGGTCACTAGGACTAAGTAAGTAGATTAGGACTGGGGATAACTAGGGTTACTACATGGGTTATAGGGGTTATGAACCTACTTACTGAGTCCCCCTCATGCTCCAGCCACCATGACACCAAAATACAGAATGTGCCAATGGAATCCCTTGAACAGGCCAGGTGCAGGTCTGGTGCTCTTGGGGTTGTGTTTGGAGGCACCTTTCCCTTCTTCATGGCTGCAGCATTCTGATACTGTGTGAGCTCAAGTCAGGGCACCGTGTTCATTCTGCCGGTGCTTTTCTCCATTGCTATCCAGTGGCAGCAGGGCATGCAAGTCCGCTTCTATGAGTCTCGGCAGCCGTGAGAGTGCATGAGAGGTACAGCAGCATTCTGTTTTCAATGTGGATGTATGGTTCTGAGAGATCTGCGATTGTCTGCAGGAGTGGGTTCTCGACTTCGTTTGCCTCCTGGTTGGGGTGCTGGGGGCCATCACCGGCCTGTACTATGGTGTACAAGAGTTGGCAGCCTTACGATAACTTTTTGTGCAGGTCACTTCTTGACCAAGGAAGGACCTAGCACGATGCATTCAGCAATTGTTATCTCCTATAACCTAGATACTGTGGAACACATGCCCCGGTCAGAGATGCCCTGGAGCGACAACCGCTCGCCACATCCGTCCCCTGCAAATGAAGTGGAACACTACATTCTACAGGGGTTATATAGGGGTTGTGTAGGGTTTACGGATAGTATCCCAATAATGGTCAAAAGGAAAAGCTGCCAAAGAAGCAGCTGACCACTTGAGCTTGGTTGAGTGCGCATGGAAGAAATGGCCCGTGGCTTTGGTTCTTATGCCGCCATAGGTTTCACTGGTGGTGAATATGATCCAGTATGACAAGGGACCGTTTATAGGAATCAGTCCTCGCCTCCGGCCCTACTAACTAACTACCTTAAGGAAGCGCTGAGGCTGCTGGGGGATGGGTGGTGATTCCCGCATCCCTGGTGTGTGCAGGATGCGGCCAGCGCGCTGTACTCAGGCCTGCCACACCTTGGAGGCCTGGAAAAAAGCCAGGCGGGCTTTGCTTTTGTAGAGCATAATCGTTTACGCTTGATTTTCTATTATCTTTTTCAATTGGTGCAGCAGCTTGGTACTATCCCTTAAGCCCTACATAACCCTTATATAGCCCCTATAGAACCTGGTGCTCTCCAGTGTGCGCAAAGCGAACCTCGCCAAGATTCAAAATCTGCAGTCCGTGTTTTTAGGAGCTTGACATCCAGGCTCTGCACTTCTGCAGCTGTTGAGTACCAGACGAGAAACTGCCAGCTGTGCAGGGTGCTCGCCATACCAAGCCCTCGTGTTGACGGGGGCTGCGACCCTAAAAGAATTCCTGTCATCCTCTCGGATACAGAGACAGCTAGCCAGCTGAACGCCAAAGGGTCATCGCCCCCGTCACTTCGCGGCGCGGATTTTAGGTCGCTCCTGCTCGCAGCTATGTCGACCCCCTTGTCGATATGGCTGAATAAGACGGGAGATGGTGGAGCCTCCGCCATGGCGACATGGGCTGCAGAGGCCTTGACTCTGAATAGTGATTCGCTGAACCGCCGCTTTACCATGGCTCAGCAGAGCCTCAAGTTGCTGGGTGCTCTTGACAGGCGAACTGCGGCGAAATCACTATGGGCGGGACCAGTGGAAATTTCGCCCGAGCCATGTACTCAGCTACATGGGCCTGCAGGGGATGGGTCCTAGACAGGTGTGCGATAGAGCTGAGGTTTGGATTGTCTCTTCTGCAACGGCGCTTGGGCTCGTCGTTCTGATTCTCGTTCCCTTCGTGTGGTGTCACCTGGCTGCCGTAGTAACTAGTTTGGACCTGCTGCCAATGCAGCTGCAGCAGGCTTGGCGCTACGACCCACATCCCACACTTCCGAGGCAAACGGCCCAGCAAGCGGCTGGCGCAGGTCGAAGAGGAAGAGAAGAGTGCTTTGACTGCTTGATGCTGGTTTGAAGCAGTTAGACCTCCCAAATACAGTATGCAGCCGCGTAGACTGTCAAAAAGGGCGCGGGGCATGCGCGGATTCATGAGGTCTCAGCAGCTCTCATGAGAGTTTCACTGGGGTGCCGGGGATGGCTGGCTTCTGCAGCCGGAGGATTGTGACAGCACTGCTCATGTTCTGTAGCGGGCTTCCAAGCCTTTCCGAGTAAGGTGCTGTGAAACCGCGAGCAACGGTCAAGGAGCTGTGCTGGGGTCATTCTGGAAGTCATGATACGCTTGTCCTCCATGCATGTGTCTTTGGCGCATTCCATTGAAGTCCTCCCTGAAGAATACTTCGATCTTGCTTTTGGAAACATGATGCATCACTTGTCAAAGAAAGCCATAAACAAACTTCAATCTGGCATCTGTAAACATGCACTCCAGCTGAGCTAAACACTTGGATACGGAGAGTGGTTTGCAGTGGAGCGGTTGATCGGCCTCGTCTCCTATATTCTGGCACTCCACCCCAAACGAACTGCAATAACCCGCTCCCCAGAGACAGTTGTTTCTGGATGGAAGGTTAACTCTATGGTTTTGATGGCTCTAAGCGGCTACGACGAATCGTCATGACAATCTGGATAACCCCGGAAATCTTCCTTAAAGCTTCAAAGCTCATTTTGGTATATAACCCTTTACCTATGCCCATGTAGCCCGCCGCAAGCATTGATTCCAAACTGTCACATGCCAGCGGTCCCTCAGCGTCCAAACCCTAAACGCCAAAGCCCAGCTAGAACCAAAGCACCCGCAACGTCCTAAACCCATAAGCTCACTCTTGGGCTCAAGATCCAAAACCTAGACGTAGTACGGTAGGACCTGATTCTTTTCGAGCGCGCCCTTGAAACCCCAAGCCCAAGCTCAAAACCTTACGCCCTAAATTCTAAAACCATCCAAAAGATAAACCTTAAGCCCTAAGCCACCTGCAGTTTGGGGTTCTCCCATAGCCTAAACTCCTAGCATCCCCCTCATTGAAGCCCTAGAATAATCCACTATATGATCTATAGTCTAAACTCCTAGTATCCCCCTTAATAGCCCCTATAATATACCCCTATATAATCCCCTATATAACACCCTTTTAAGGAGTTTAGGCCCTAAATCCTAAACCCTAAATCTTAAATCCTATATAACCCCCTATAATCCCCCATATTCTGAGTCCCTGTATATAATCCCTATATAATCCCCCTTGAAGGAGTTTAGACTATGGCTCATATGATTCCCTGTATGTTCTCCCATGAGGATGACATCCGACGGTCCGAGCCGGACCTCCCCGCGGCCAAGCGCCACCTGGTGTCCCTCGGTGACAACGGCCCCATGTGAGTAGCGTTTTTTTGGTAGTTGAACCTAGTAAGATAATATTCCTTATATAAGATACAATGCGCCAGAAGGAGGATATAATCTTAGTCTATATTGGGTACCATGGTATCCCTAAATAAGATACTACTCACGTGCGGGGTGTTTCAGGGGTCCCCCCCGCTTCCCCTATAATACCCTCCGCAGGTTCCCGGTTAGAGAGGGTTAATATAGGGGGGTATGTAACAGTAGCGGGGGAAACCCATGAGTGTTGGGTTTCAGGGAAAATAAAGAAGGATGGTATTAAAGTGCCTCAGGGTTAAGTGGCAAACGTTTTTTAGCGAGGTGGATTTGTGCAACAAGGGTTCGCTTGCTTTCTAGTCGTGGGGGCTTATTTCAATTGAGGGCAAGGTTCTGGTTTGGGTCAAGCATCATGTAACCCTTGCTTAACCACTGGACAATCCCTATATAATCCCATAAAGCCTTATAGAACCTGTGTACAACCCCCATGGAACCCCTACAGACTCCTTTAGACATAGAAACTTACAGAACCCCTACAGATTCTTATGATTGTGATGACCCGAGGTCTTCCAGCGCAACAGTAGCCCCCTGGCTCGCTCCAGACATGGCAGTCAAGGTCATGAGTCATGACTATCATACATAGGGTTCTGACAGGGATAATATGCGGGCTTTATAGGGATAATATTATAGCAAGATTTACAGGGAGAATGTAGGGTGAGATAGGGGTGACATAGGGATAACGTAGGGGTCATGAGTCATGACAATCTTAGACATGTTGCTTGGAGGGTCGTATTGGGGACGTGCTTAAATAGGTTACCAACCCTGTAAGCCATATACCATGTGCTACCCTCAATTCTCCCCATCATCCTTTTAACCATACTTTTCTTCTTGACCCTCCAAGAAAAGTATGGCAGCAATGAGTGTTGACTGCGAGACGACCATGCTGCCCTTGCTGCTTTGGAAGCATTGGCTAAGGGTGGGAAGTGGTTGAACCCCTTCTGCACAGGCGTCGATGGCTTCAGTGCCTGACCTGAGCTAGATCTACAGTTTTGCGGTGACCAAGATGTTAACATCACTGCAGACGCAGTCATGAAATAACATTACGCTTGCTATCATGGTTGTAATCACTTTTACAATTAATTATCACTATCATCACTGTTTTGACAACTGTTGCTATCATTGCTATCATCACTCTACAGCCAAAGACTGGTCATACCAGGCCAGATTGGTGGATCGGGCCTTGAAATGTACTTCACCACACTGCGAACCTTGGGCTTCCTTTTCGCAACCATGGCAGCTTGGCAAGCAGGGGGTGCGCTTCCCGCATCCTCCTTCCGCAGAGGTACTTGGGGGGTCAGTGGGACGTAGTAAGTGGGTTAATAATGAGGATAACTAGGGTTACTGTATGGGTTATTGGGGTTGTTAACTAGTTACTAAGTTCCCCTGATCCTCCAAGTAGCGTGCGACGTAGAGTTGCAAGGGCACGGGGTATATGGGTCGTTTTGCTTTTGAGAAATGGGGGTTTCCATGCAGGGGCCCCAACATACACCCCAAAATAGTACTACCCCTAGTATACGGACTTTCAAAAGGAGTTCTTAGTTTTTGGAAGCCCTAGCCGCTTTCAATGTATTTCTTTTTCTTTTTCCATTTCTATTTGATTCCGATTATTGGGATGTAAACCCGAAACCCTACACGCTAATTCCTTAAGCCCTGAATCACAGGATCCCCAAACAGAAGCCCTAAACCCTAAACACTAAACCCTAGACCCTAAACCCTAAACCCTAAGCCCTAAACCCTAAACCTTAAACCCTAAACCCTAAACAACCCCATGCAAGGCAGCCCTCACTTTCCCGACCACTGCCTTCTGCTTGCTTGGGACGTTTGCGCCGGACACTGGTCAATTCTTGGCTGCTTGGGCGGAACTAGGAATAGGGGGGGGGGTAGGGTTTAGGTTTTAGGGTTTAGGGTTTAGGATATGTATATATATATATATTCCCTAAGTGTTGTAACCCTAGATCGGTGGATTTTAAAAAGGGACCTCTAAATATTGAAAATCATCCAAGCACCAAACCTACCCTAAACCCTGAACCCTAAACACTAAAGCGGACTTTGGTTTTTCGGGTTTAGGCTTGAAGGTTTCGGGTTCAGCGTTTCGGGGTTCTGCCTCCACGCATTGACAGTTGTTCATTATTTATACTATC